TTGTGTCCCCTGTGGTTGACATACCCTTCATTGACACATTTTTCCTTTCTTCTATTCTCTCAAAAGTTGCTCAAAATATTTGCCAGGTATTCTGCATAGCTCTGGTGTTTGTGACCAACTATCCCATCTTCCACTGCTCTATACTCCCAAGACTGGGTCTGTGCCCTCCTCGGACCTTTCTGGCACATTTTTATCAGTACATATTGAATTGTTGTACTTTATCCTTTTGTATCATACCACTCATACTTCTTTCCCTCACCTCCAATAGACGTTCACTCGGTGAAGCAGGAATATAGTAGTTTTTCTGTATCAGTGCACAATGCCCAGCACATAGTAGGTAAGGAATACATAATGGTTAAATGAATAAAAATTAAAATGAGTTAATTGATTTACTTAGTTCCATGAAGTGTGATTCAGGGCAGGCCTCAAATCTTTTCACCAGCAAAAGAACTAAGAATAATCTATTATGGAATCTCTGGCCACTAGGACTACTGATGTGATAGAGTTCCTTCAATAAGTAGAAGATAATTCTCATGGGCAGCCTGATCTAATCCACTCCACAATAAGCAGGTAACATGACAAATCAAAACTTTCAAGGGAAAAAGCTGGTACCAATCCCATGATTTTAATATTAGCATTTGGTCTCCATGGTCTATGCTTTTATTGTTTTTTTTTTCCTGTCATGGCATTAAACACGATCCAGATAACTATTTAACATATTTGATCTTCTCTTATTTTAGCTCATAGCCTTAGAAAGGAAAAAAAAACATATTAAAGAGAGGAAATAGAATTTTCAATATGGAAATAAAAATGTTGCAGCAAAGAAATGAGACCACTTTAATTTTTAAACTCAATTGATTATTCTAATTTCAATAGATTTGTCCTTGCCAAACCCTCCTTTTAAAGACATGCCATCTACTTATCTCTAACTTTAAATATAGCTTTTCACAGTTTAGAGTAAACAAAACACAACTGGTAATTACCATTCAAAATTTTATGAATGTGGATGGATTGCTTACAGAATTTAATTAAAATTTGGACTTCTATGCACTAGCTGTATTAGTGGAAGCCTTCTCGAACATATCTTGGGGAATTTCTTGAGTAGAAACACCTTCTAAGAAATCAATGCAGAGAAAAGGGTCCAGAGATATTTTTGTTTTATTTCCCTTGAAAGATTTATCTGTACTTTTGTCATATTTATTACTTAATTTGAATGAGAGTCAAGAAAAAATACAATTAAAATAATTCCCAAAAGACCATACCATTTATACCAGCAGTCCCCAAACTTTTTGGCACCAGGAACCAATTTCAAGGAAGACAATTTTTCCATGGACCTAGAGGGGGGATTTAGGGGGCAGGCAGAACTCAGGCAGTGATGGAACTAATGGGGAACAGCTGTAAATACAGATGTAGCTTGACTTAGTTGCTACTCACCTGCTGTGTGTTCTTGTTCCTAACAGGCCAAGGACTGATAACAGTCCATGGCCTTGTGGGTTGGGGATGGAAGCTTTATACAAAAGAAAAAGTATAAGTGCAACAGGTGACATTTATTTGTAAATGTGCTGCTGACTTAGGATCGTTCCTGTAAGTGAATGCACAAGTACAACTGGGTACAAAGAGGTATTTAAAAGAAAAAAAATAGAAACTAAGATACTGCAGTAGGCAGAATAATGGCCTCCCAGAGATGGCCATGTCTTAACTATTAGAACCTGTGAATGTAATTTGTTACATATCAAATTAAATAAGTTTGCAGATGACATTAAGGTTGCTGATTATTTGACCTTAATAAAAGGAGATTCTTTTGTATTAGCTAGGTGAGCCCAATGGGCTCACAAAGATCTTTAAATAGTTTGGAAGAGGAAGAAGAGGTCAGAGTTAAAGAGAGATTTGAATATATTATGTTCCTGGCTTTGGAGATGAAGGGGCTACCAGTCAAGGAATGCAGATGCCTTCTAGAAGCTCGAGTAGATAAGGCAATGGATTCTGCCTTAGAGCCTCCAGGGAGGAACACAGTATTGCCAACACCTTAATTGTAACCAAGTGAAACTTCCAACCTACAAGACTGTAATACATTTGTGTCATTCTGGTCAATTGTTACAGCAGCAATAGAAAGCTAATACAGGTATGTTGATACAATATAACACTATGAAGTCATTAAAAATGAGAATGCCTGATGATGTAGAAAATATGGCATATCATTAGGTTAGAAAAACATAAAATACCCCATGTAGTAAAATCAAACAGAAAAAGATATGTGTTGTATACATTTTAGATAAAATGTGAAAGATACACTATAAAGTGTTCTTCAGGGTTCCCTATGGATTCTGAAATTTATTTTTCCTCTCTTCTGTATTTCCCAGGTTTTCATGTTTTTTCTAATCATAAGAAAATGTTCAATGTGATGTTAAAAACTGGAGGTAGGTTGCGCTATTAATAGCATTTTATGTCCATTCAAAAAATTTTAAGACAATGAGCTATAATTACTTTACCAGATATCTACATCTCATACGTGCTTTAAAAGATAAACAATGTTATTGTCTACTCACATTTAAAATTTTTTTTCTTCTATAAACCACATATTGAAACCTGGACCACATGAAATTAGAAAAGATTTTGCTACACAAAGATCAATCTTCAAATCATATTTGCAGCATTCATGGTGTCAGGATTAATGACAATAGCAGGATATCACTTATATAGTGTCTAGGACTAAAACTTCAGGTGAATGAACTTTCCTTTGAGTTCAACTGGATAATCCCTTTTATAGGATTCAAATACTGGACCTCATTTTTGGAAAATAGTCAAAACCTCCTCCTCTCATGCTTTATGGATTTGATTTTTATTAGTGGTGGGTTTTCTTGTGGCTGTTTACATCTGTAGAGAACATAAAGGAAATTAAACCTAGAGAGCAGGATAAAACTGTGTTTAATAAGTGCATTTTGCATAAATTAAGATTTACACAAATAAAACTACTAAAGTTTAGTAGAAAAGCTTGGTTGCAAGACACAGTACAGAAAATAATTATTTAGTATCTGCCAAGCAGAAAATGGCAGCACCAATAGGGTGCGCTCCAGCATCAGGTGTGCTGATGGCCAGCTCTCACCATTTCTGTGCTCTTGGTTAGTTATTTCCCCTTTCTGAGGCTACTTTATAGTATGCAGAGTGAGTATACCAGTATCCTGAGTTTATTGTGAGAAGTAAAGGAAGCAAAATGCATTTCCTTGTGTAAGTGACCGGTAGATGATGGCTACTCTTTCTGAATGCTGATTTTACTGAGTATTGTTATTTAAATTACACAATTTAAGAAGATTCAGTGACTGCTTGTGCTTATGTGCTCTGTGGTAATTTCAAGGCATTTTTTAAGTGTGGTAAAGTAATATGTATGTGACAAGACTGGTACTGTATGAAGAGTTAACTGGCAGAAGTGACAGAAAACTAACAGAGATCAAATAGAAGTTTCTATCACCTCATTTGAACGAGAATATGAACATCCACTCAGTTTCTCCAAAATACTTTTATAAAGAGCTGTGATTGATCTCGCTATTCTGCTGTGACAGAGTAGGAAAAAAGGACCAGGGTGTTTTTCAGGTACAAGTCATAAAGGAAAAGAAAAAACAGTATTCATACATTTTGCCCTTGACTTGCTTCTCTTGTCTGATTGCTCTGGCTAGGACTTCCAGCACCATGTTGAATAGAAGCAGTGATAGAGGGCAACCTTGTCTGGTTCCAGTTCTAAATGGGAATGTTTTCAATTTTTCCCATTCAGTATGTTGGTGGCTGCGGGTTTGTCATATATGGCTTGTGTCATTTTTTGGTAAGTCCCGTCTATGCTTATTTTGTTATGTTCTTATCATAAAACAGTGTTGTATTTTGTCAAATGCTTTTTCTGTGTCTATTAAGAGGGTCATACGTTCTTTGTGTTTTTGCTGCTATTTATGTGGTGAATTACATTTACAGATTTGTGTATGTTCAACCATCCTTGCATCTTTGGGATAAAGCCCACTTGGTTGTGATGGATTATATTTTTGATAAGCACTTGAATTCAGTTTGCTAGGATTCTGTTGAGAATTTTTACATCTATATTCATAAGTAGTAGTTTTCTTGTTGTATCCTTTTCCTGGTTTTGGTATCAAGGTGATATTGGCTTCATAAAACGTGTTGGGGAAGATTCTTTCCTTCTTGATGTTGTGGAATAATTTCTGCAGGATAGGCACCAGTTCTTTGTAGGTCTGGTAAATATTGGACTAAATGGTCCAGAACTTTTCTTTTTAGGAAGATTTTTTTATTGCTGCTTCAATTTCAATACTTGGTATTGCTCTGTTCAGGAATTCTATTTCTTCCTAATTGAGCTTCTGTGCTCTCCCAGGTAATGGGAGTCCCACTACCCTTTTACATTGGAATAAATGTATGACGAGCAGAAGACATTGGGTGTTTAATCATTGGTGAGTGGGTATGGGAGATATAATTGCAGATGAAAAATGAAAACAAGAACACCTTGCTGAAACTTACCTTCTCTGCTCCATTTGCTTCATAATCATTATTAGGAATTTTTAAATTAAATGCTAAATTCAAGCCTGGATGTTAATTTGTAAAATAAAAAAACTATGTCAGAACCTTCAAATACTATTACAACAAAACCTCAAAGATTTTAAAACTTAAAGCAGGCATGTGCTTCTACCAAGATACTAAATAAGATAATAATAATAAAAAAAAGCCAGGCTACTCCTGAAGAAAACAAAAAAATAAAAACATTCTTAAATGTATTTAAGTAATCAAATGAAATAGTCTTAGCTTGCTAAATTTTTGAACCCCTTCTTTGGAATAAATTCTTAGATTGAATGTTGAGACCCTGTAGACCTTAGAATATTTTTTGAGAAATAGGTTTGTAGTATCAATTGTGCTAAATAAGTGGGTACAAAATAGCATCTCAGATTTTAAAAGCAAACTGCTAAAAATTAAGCATTCTATGCTTCAGAAAGTTTATAAGGTTTTCACAATCATTGTTTTAACACAGAAATCTGTTTATTAAACCAAACAAAGCAGAGAAAATTATACCAGCCCTCAATTTTTGAATTTTCATTTAAATAAGCAAACTCTAAATCCACACCTTTAAAGATGTTTGTGCATCTATGTATTTCCAAAATACTCATATTTCAATAAGATTTTCACATTATATTCACCAACAGTATCACAAAAGTTCTTTTTTTGTTTACGTAACTGTAAGGAACAGTAATTCTAGAAACACTAGAAGAAAAAAGCATAGCAATGTCCACAGTTACAAGAAAAAGTGCACATTACTTGGTCACAATCACAGTCATTACTTAAAAACTATATGTAACAAGTAGATAAGAAATATCACTGATGCCTTAAACTCATTGTCAAAAACTGAATGACATAAATTTTACATAAAATAAGGCAAATTCAAGAATGCACAAAGAATTGGTAATCCAACAAAAGCTAAACAACAGAAAAAAAGTTGTACAAGGAGCATGAACTAAAGTACTTCTCCCTAAATATTTTAAAAATAGGCTTGCCTCAGTGCACAAAGAAAACACCACTCATGTATCCAACACTATAAAATAAGAAGGGCAAAGTATGGGAAATGGGAGGAAAACAGTTCAATGTATGTTGCAGCTGCATCTGCTGAGAGTTTTTTACATTATTTTTAGCTAGAACTGAACATTATACAAATCATATCAGGAGATATAAGCGTCTTTTTTGAAACTTTCTGAAAGAAATGAAAAGTAAAGTACACACAAGAGTGCAAATTTTCAGATTGTCACTTGCAACCTCTTAACATTCAGTCATTTACATCCAGTTGCTGCTAGACAGATGCCTGCAGAAAGCAGCTCTAAGAAACCAAAATGTGATTTTTTTTCCAATGATATGTCTTTTTAATATTAAAAAATTCTGTGATGAAAACTGTTACAGTAAAGCTGCAATGGTGAATGGGGTTTTTGAGATCAGCATGGGTGCAGAAATGCAGGCTTCTCTTGGAAGTAGTTCCTGATGTGACGATTTAAAGAACGTAGGCAAGGGTTTTTTCCAGCATCAAGTGTTGTTTTTGTAGAAAGAATTTGGAAAGAGGAGAAGGCAAAGGGATGTGGAAAAGGTACTTACAGTAGATTTTCAAAACAGTTTTCTTTTAGGACCTATGAAAAAGTTACCAAAGTAAAAATGACAATTTTGAATGAAAAACAAGTTTTCTTTTTATAAAAATTACATTTTTTAAAATACAAGATCCTTTTCATTGTTGTTATATCCTGGTAGCAACAAGAAATTTGGCTTTTTTTTTTTTTTTTTGCCAGAGACTTCAGCTTTCAGTCCAATGAGTCAGTAGCAAATTCCACTAATATTTCAGTTGGATCTTGAACTATCTTTTATACCACAAGCTTCTTTTTTTATCCTTGAGTTAAGAATATACAGCCTTTTTCCTCCTGATATTTATGCTGACACACTAAAACAAAAAGCAATAGGCTGGACACATTAAAGTATCTCGAGTACTTCAGAGGTCAGAGTTCCTTTGAAGCACCTTAACACATCACTTTATGGATCAAGGACAATGTGGCATAATGGAAGTATTTCTCTTAAGAGACTTTGTAGTAAGACCAGAAGTATCTCTGCTGGGAAATCAAAATGTCATTAGTGGAAACTGCAAATTTAGACCTCAGTGAATGTGGTTGTCATTTGACTCAGTTCTGTTGTAAAATGAGATTTTCCAGTTCATCTGCAGAACGCAATAAAAATGCAGCTGATTCTCGATATCCTGCAACAAGCTGTCTCACAGCATTGATTTCAGTTGGACTCAGCTGGGGTCTGGAGTTTGAACTGCTGGAGGATCCTGAGCTGGTCGCCAACTGCCTCTTCATGCTGAGATCAGTGGGTCCTAGGGAAAAAATCATAACAAAATCAGACATGAATAATTTTTCTAGCACCTTGGATGTGAGCACTCCATGAATTAATTCAACAGTGATTTATTAAGTCTTTCATGAGAAGCTAGTGATATCTTTAGTCAAATACATCTACTCTCAGAATAAAGAACACTGTGATGCTGAGTGGCTGTGGATTTCTCTCTGACCAGCCTCTGGTAATCACCTCTTACCATGGAAAGATGGTGACAATCTTTGACCATGTGCTTTTTGGAAAATTCAATTTTAAGTCTGTCTTCCACATGTTGGAGAAGTCTCTCATAGCAGCATAAAATGATGGGAATTACAAACATTTTTCATTTGCTGCATTCATTTACGGAGATCTTAAACCCTACCTATACATAATTTTTAAAAAATCCTAGATTGTGATAATACTGACTCTAGAGTACATATTAGTCAATTTAGCAAGGAGGAGACTGAGGGACTTTAGTAACATGTTTAGAGTTTGACAACTTAAATGGCACAATATGAACTTAAAATTTGCTTTAAATGAAAAAATATCTAACATTTGCTTAAAAAGTATAGTAAGTGATTAGTATATAAACAGTACCACAGACAAACTAGACTTTTGGAATACTGCACAAAATACATTCATGTACCAAAACCTTTATTGCTTACATATTTAAACCAAATCTGGTAGGTCGTCTTCTAGAAAACATCTTTATAATTTTTAATTCAGAAATTTGCATAGAGAAGATACTTCAATAATTTTTAGATTAAGGTTTTATTATGCATCTAAGTGTTCACTTTTATAGTTCTTATCTTTCATTAAACATTTATTATAATTATTAAATCTGCAGTATTACATTTAAAATCCTTGAATTAAATATTACTAAGCATATAACTAAATGAATGCTCCAAAACTGTAATGATTCCCTAACTTAAACCTTTTCAGATAATGCTTTGCTTTAGTTCACAAAATGGATAGCATGTTATTTTATCCTTCTGGTTCTCCTTGAGGCATGATGGAGACAGGTCAAGATCCAACCCCTTCCACCCTCAACAAAGGAGGCAGATGTCCCAGGAGAGGGAAATAGCTTTATTTGGCATTTAATTAGAGCAGAGACAAGACTAGCACACAAGAACTCTGACATCTGAGAGAACCTTCTTTCCACTTCTGCACTGGCCTTATAAAGCTTTGAATTTTTTCAGCAAGAGTTAGCTTCCATTTGTTCTGCTATTTACAAAATCATGAGTCTGACATGACAAGAGAAAAGGGAAAGATGTGGGATATCACATTAACAAACAGGAATTACTGAATCTGTTTTTAAGCAAATCATTAACAGCATCTAGTTTATTTGAAAACTTCTGAATGTATTTTTTAAAAATATTTTAAACAATATAACAGTGGTTCTGGTCTCTCAATAAATCCACCTTAAATTTTGTTTCTCTTTATATTTTAGAAGTCCTTTAGGGGATGTCATGATTCTCAAAGTCAGAGACCTATTAACTGGAGAATACAATGAAAGGCTCACTAACAGCTGCATATTCTTCAAATAATTCACGTATATAATTCAGCTCATCAATGACTGGGGAAAATGTTCATCCAAAATTTCCCTTTTAAGAAGTATTTTTAAAAAAATTCTTGGAGGGCAGAGCAAGATGGCAGATGAGAATAACCGCCAGCCAGAGTGTCTCTTCCAAAAAAGCCAGATTTTAGAGGAAAGTGGAAGAAATAAGCAGACAAGCATACATTACATGAGGGTTGGAAGGAGGGGTACCTGAGACTATGGGAGACTCCATGGGAGGAGGCTATATAGGAGATCTGGAAGAAGAGAGCCCCCGAGAAGCTTGGAGACCAGCGACAAGGGTAGGTGGAGCAGTTAACTTTCCCCTCCCTTGCATCTCGGATTGTTGGATTGTTGGTGAGCTCCCCCGTGGTTGAAGAGACCAGCAGACACCAGCCCAGAGATGGTTGCTACCAGTGAGCGGTAAACCTCTTGTGGATGCAGCACCAGGCTCCCAACTCCATCAGGGCAATCCTCACACACAGACCCCAGCTGCTGAGCAGGTACCATAATGCTTCATTCTTCCCTTCCCTTTCCGTGGCTGCAGAGAGAAAAATTAGCCACCACCCGGAGGCATCTCCAGGGAACGGGACCTTTCATTTTGGAAAAGGTCAGCAGACTGAGGGGCTACTCAGACTGTGAGTTCCCTACCCGCCAGCCCTCCCAGGTTCTGCTGGCCTGGTGACTCCAGGAGAACAGAGCAGATCCTGAAGCTGAGAGACACTGACCCAGCTTGGGAACCCGCTGGGTGACTTGGGACAGGTACTCCTCTCCCTGGTGGGGTCAGGGTTAAATTCTGGGGCCCAGGGGTCAGACCTGCGGACCAGATCCTGGACATAGGTCTCACATTGCCCTGGGGCACAGAAGAGATATTTGTGAACAAGCCTAGTAAGTTATGTGTGCCTTCAAGGCCAGATCAGCATGTTTGAGGGGCAACCCTCCTCCCACAGGAGGGCCATGTGCCCAGACCACTATCCCGCAGAGGGACACTCCCGGCTCACAACACAGCCAGGGGAGACCCGCTGGCGTGAGGTCCTGCCTGCTGGCAGAGGCCCAGGAGAAGCCGCAGAGTGGGGAAGGGTGGAAAGGAGTGAAACCTGCTCCAGATTGAAGGTCTCAGACAGTCCCACCCCCAACACACAGACTTCCCAGCTGAGTGGGACCATTCTAGCCCCTCCCTGACAGCTTTGCCCAGAAGAGAACAGACCTTTGACCCCTGCTAACAGCATCTGTGGTGCTTGAGGGCAGGCTTACCAAACCCAGCGATACCCAGACATACTCCTCGACCTGCCCTCACTGAAGTAGAGAATAAGAACACACTTGGAAGTCCCAGGGCCACATGCCCCACAAGAGTGCCTCTCCAGAGGAGTAAGACCTGGTTACAGGACTCAAAAATGACACTGCAGCTTGCTCCTCCCAGCAAGCACCACCTTCTGACAGGGAGGTCATTCTGCACCCTTTTACTGCATCTACTGACTCATTATACAGGGAGTGGTCAAATCTCATACCCAAACAGACTAAACAGGGCGTGTTCATTATCCAAATGCAAATCTAAAGGTAAGAAGCAACAACTAATCCAGATGGGAAGAAATCAGCAAAAGAACAATGGAAGTATGAAAAATAAAACAGAAAGCACACCCCTAAAGAGGAACACCAGCTCTATAGAAATAGATATCAACCTAAGTCAGAACACTAAAATGACAGAAAAAGAATTTCTAACATGGATTGTAAGAAAACTCAATGACATGCAAGAAAAAATAGATAACCAACAAAAAAACCACATACACAAACAAAATCCAAGATGTGAAAGAAAAATTCACTATAGAAATTGAAATATTAAAGAAAAATCAACTGGATCTCCTGAAAATGAAGAAAATATTCAGGGAACTACAAAACACAGTGGAAAGCCTCAAGAACAGGGTAGATCAAACAGATTGAAGATAACACCTTACAATTAAATAAGTCAGTCACAGAGATAGAGCAGAAAATAAGAGAAAAGAACAAAGCCTGTAAGAAATGTGGGATTATATGAAGAAACCTAACATGAGGGTCATGGGGATCCCGGAAGGGGAAGAACAAAAACACTCAAGGGTTTGATAAGCTATTTGAAAATATAATAGAGAAAAATTTTCCAGGCCATGGTAAGATTTAGATATCCAAGTACAGGAAGCTCAAAGACCCCTGGCAGATTCAATTCAGACAGGAAGACACCACGACATGCAGTCATCACACAGACCAAAATATCAACTAAAGAGGCCCTTCTATGATCTCTAAGGCAAAAGAACCAAGTAACATACAAAGGAAAGCCAATATGGATAACTCCAGACTTCTCTATTGAAACCTTACAAGCAAGGAGATACTGGGGCCCTGTTCTCATTCTTCTGAAACAGAATAATGCCCAGCCTAGAATCTTTTACCCTGCAAAACTAAGTTTTGTATATGAAGGAGAAATCAAGACATTCTCAGATAAGCAAAGACTGAGGGAATTCACCAAGACCAGCAATTCAAATAGTACTCAAAACAGTGTTACCCACAGATCAGCACAATAAACACTCACGAATGTAAATCTACTCAAAAGCTAAAGATCAAAGCCAAGAAACCACAATGGCTCAAGAAAGAAAACAAAGCAACAAAGTTCAACACAACATAATGAACAGAAATCTGCCCCCCACAATCAGTTATCTCAATAAATGTGAATGGCAATAAATGTGAACTCCACACTCAAGAGATATAGGCTGGGCAAGTGGATAAAAAAATACAAGCCAAGTATCTGCTGTCTTCAGGAAACACATCTAACCTGCAAGGATGCACTTAGACTAAAGGTAAAGGGGTGGAGAACGATATTTCAAGCAAATGGAAGCCAAAAAAGAAGGTTGGCATGGTGATTTTGATTTCACATAACTTTGTCTTTTATTACTTTTGTTGATTTAAATACTAAGGTTACTATATAATGGTCAATGTTACAGTTGAACAAGATGATACAGTTTGACTTTGTTGCTTTGTTTTTCTTTTTGAGCCATTGTTTTCTTGGCTTTGATCTTTAGCTTTTGAGTAATTTACATTCGTGAGTGTTTATTGTGCTGATCTGTGGGTAACACTGTTTGATGTACTATTTGAATTGCTGGTCTTGGTGAATTCCCTCAGTCTTTGCTTATCTGAGAATGTCTTGAACTTCTTCATATACAAAACTTAGTTTTGCAGAGTAAAAGATTCTAGGCTGGGCATTATTCTGTTTCAGAAGAATGAGAAAGGGCCCCAGTATCTCCTTGCTTGTAAGGTTTCAATAGAGAGTCTGGCGTTATCCGCATATGGCTTTCCTTTTGTATGTTACTTGATTCTTTTGCCTTAGAGATCATAGAAGGGCCTCTTTAGTTGATATTTTGGTCTGTGGATGACTGCATGTCGTGGTGTCTTCCTGTCTGAATTGAATCTGCCAGGGGTCTTTGAGC